ATATATATATATATATTATGTGTAACATAAACCCTTACATCTGCCCACTTTTTGTTCGCACTTCTCGCCACATTAATATTAAAAGTGTTTTTCTTCTTCAAAAATGTTTTGCGTGGAACTGATATGACTTTTTAATTATTTACTACTATTAATTACTTCGTAGGCTAGGCCTACTAAAAACGGTTATTATAGTAGGTCTATAGGCTAGCCCAAGGAGTGTAACGTCCTTGTTATAGCCTAGTCATACTTTTTTAGGAAACTCATGATATCAATGGGGAAACCGGAAACCACAACATTGTGTCACCGTCTGACTGAAGAGTGAGTCTCGTTTGTTTACACTTCCTCGTACAAGACTTGTGTAAGTTTGATGAGGCGTAGTCCTGATTTCTGATGATGATCGGTGCCCGAAGAATCGGGTAGGCTCTGATAACTGCAAATCAAGGACATGTATGTGTAAGAGGAGTAAGTACACAGTTGCATGCATGCTGCTAAAAAAACAAACCCAAAAGATCCCAAAATCAAAACAAACAAGAAAAACGATCGTTCAAACTCGCACATGAATACATAGTCTCTAATAGATCCTAGATCTAGACTGTAGATCTTTCTAGTCATAGATTCCAGATCTATCTAAGATTTAGATTCTATGTTATTTTAAAATATTAGGCTATGTTTTCACTTTATGGTTAAAATATGGCAGGTTTCACAATTCGAAGTGTATACAGACCCGGTAACCGGGAACAAAGTCACGAAGTATACAGACCCGGTAGGGGAACTCTTTTGTGATTACGGGAAGTTTCAGCCCCCAGACCCGGTAGAAATCTAGTGTGTGTGTGTGTGTATGTGAGAGAGAGAGAGAAAGAGAGGGGTGGGGTGCTAGCAAAATGTATATGACATGACCAAGGACCAAGGCAAGGAGTTTAGAACTTTTAACCTTTAAGATTCTGGTCCCTGATAAATGTTTGCCCGATAAGCGCAATCCCGCGCGGCGCTCCACAGCTGGTCCCTGATCAGTCGTCGTCCCGCGTGGGCAACGCATTTAGTTTACGGCGGAGTCTGCATCCGTGTGCTAAAATGTGTGTGCGTCAATCTGCTTGTGCCTGAGTGTCCATCTCAAACTTACTGCATTGTTTTGCAACGCGAGGCGTTGGTAGAGATAATAGAGCGTCGGTTGAGACGTTCATCCAATGAAATATGAGCATTTTGACCCAGTTAGACACTTGAGGGACTCGAAAGGATATTCAGGAAATAGGACTTTCATCTTTCAATGCAAACACCTTTCCTCACTTTTCAAACGATCTAATTCTTTTAAATACCAAACGTTTCCTGATGTAAATAATCATATTTGGTGGTTTTTGAACCATTGTCCTACCAGAGGGAGACATTTGAGAGCAACTAAATAAAAAAATATTGGGAAATTATCCCATTTTTTTCCCCTTTCGAACCATAGCTGTATAAGCAGCTGTTCGCAAGTTCATTCATCATAATAGATGTGAAATCTGGAAAACTCTGGAAAAGTTATTCGATTTGGTGTAACTTCCAATCTCAACGTCTCTGATCTACCGACGAGGGGATAATGGGATTATTCGTGTGATCGTAACACTTATTCATTGATCGTATCAGTTTGCTATAAAAGATGAGGTGTTTAACTGACCTGCCGCGGCACGCTCGCGTGACCAGTGCCTGACCCCGGCGCCCCGCGGCACAAGCCCGCAGACGACGTAAGTGGGTCATCGATCGATAAGAGCCCTCTTCCGGTTAACCCCGCAGGACTAGAGTTAATCTCCTTGGACATGACCCAGTTGGCAGGAGGGAACGAGAGAAAGATAGAGCGGGAAATAGGTGGGGACAAAGAAAGACAGAGACAAACAAAGAAAAAGAGAAGGCGAGCGATACACAGAGGAGAGAGAGAGAGAGAGAGAGAAAGGGGGGGGGGGGGGGACTGCTCGATTGAAATTATGACATTGTAACTTGTTCTTTTCTTCTAATTGTGATTTCTCCAACTCCAAAACGGAGGAAAAACGATCGTTCATCGAAAAGACATCCGCAATCTTCATTTAGATCTAGGTTAGCCGCAAAACTAGATCAAAGATTTATGTTTGTCTGCCTAGATCTAGATCTAGACCATAGATCTAGAAGAACCTAGGTCTATCCTGAGCCAAGAGGGCGCTGAAACTCTCCGAAATCACAAAAGAGTTCCCCTACCGGGTCTGTATACATACTTTGTGACTTTGTTCCCGGTTACCGGGTCTGTATACACTCCCTTCACAATTTTAAATGCGCACTGAGGTGGTGAGATGTTTCTAGTCTTCTATGCCTATAAGTTTGTTTCGTTGAAATATATAATTAATGTTTATTAATTTAATAGGAAGTGCCTATTTGCAACGCACCGCCAGTGCTAAATAAAACGCTGTGTGTTAGCCTAGGTTCTTTATGAAGCTTAATCTACCTTTCATTGTTGGAAGTTCTGATGGCTGAACGCGTCTTCGTTTGAAGCCCAACCATTATTTTATTATTTTATGAAGTGTGGGTTCGATCCCGGAGGCCCTGGAGGTTTGTTTTTGTTTGTTTTTTGGTCCTCTTCTGGACTGACCAACAAATTTTCCCCATAATTATAACTTGTTGCTTTGTAGATCTATTTTTTTAAATTAGTGATGAAGCACACATGTACATTCTGGTTTCGAAGTGTATACAGACCCGGTAACCGGGAACAAAGTCACGAAGTATACAGACCCGGTAGGGGAACTCTTTTGTGAATTCGGAAAGTTTCAGCGCCCAGACGCGGTAGTGTGTGTGTGTGTGTGTGTGTGTGTGTGTGTGTGTGTGTGTGTGTGTGTGTGTGTGTGTGTGTGAGAGAGAGAGAGAGAGAAGTGCTAGCAAAATGTTTATGACATGCCCCAGTTGGCAGGAGGGAACGAGAGAAAGATAGAGTGGAAAATAGGTGGGGAGAGAGAAAGACAGAGACAATCAAAGAAAAAGAGAAGGCGAACGATACATAGAGGAGAGAGAGAGGAGCAGAGAAATAGAGAGAGGGTGACTGCTCGATTGAAATCATAACATTGTTCTTTTCTTCAAATTGTGATTCCTCCAACTCCGAAACGGAGGAAAAACGATCATTCACCGAAAAGACATCCGCAATCTTCATTTAGATCTAGATCTAGATCTAGGCTAGCCTCAAAACTAGATCAATGATTTATGTCTGTCTGTCTAGATCTAGACCTAGGCCATAGATCTAGAAGAACCTAGGTTTACCCTGAGCCAAGAGGGCGCTGAAACTTTCTGAAATCACAAAAGAGTTCCCCTACCGGGTCTGTATACTTTGTGACTTTGTTCCCGGTTACCGGGTCTGTATACACTCCCTTCTGGTTTTTGTCCCCAAGAGAAGCTCTATAGTCTATACTATACAAAGTAGGCCTTAGTAGCCTATAGATCTACTTTTCCTTTTACCAATTTAGGCCTGGTTAAAGTTCAATAGTGGCTTTCCTTGGTCTGTGAGTTTAATTTTTTTTTTTTTTTAATTTTACGCTCAGGAGAAGAAAAAAAAACCTTCCGGTACCGGGATTCGATGCCGCGCTTGGAAGCTCTGAACATTAATCAGGATTTAAGCCTAGCGAACGTAGACGGATTGTATACATTCTCTTGGTCTAAACTTAAAGATTATAACATTTTTAGTAAGATCTATTGTATGACGACCCTGCAGACAGACAGAAAATACTGCTTTTATACCGAATTGCACCGTCTTGTTATTGTTATCAAAGCGTCTATCGACTCACTTGCTCAAACTCAAATGATTATGATTATGAGAGATGAACAAGACGTCTACTTTGTGTAAAGAATGTCAGAAATAATTGTTAAATCTAATCGAGATCTAGATTCTAGATATAGATCTAAATCTAGATCCACCCAGTATTGATCGGTATAAGACAACGTCATAAAAAAGGAGTCAAATCCAAGGAGGTTTATCAAGAAACTGAGAAAGCATCCACAATTCAGGCAGAACTACAATATTAACATGTAGAAACGATGGCTACAAGATCTAGATAGATCTAGATCTAGATTCTGGTACTGGCGTTTTATAGCATGGGAGCTATTCAGAACGCGGCATTTCAAATAGCACGGGAGCTATTCAGAACGAGAGGTTTCAAATAGCGCGGGAGCTATTCACAACGAGAGGTTTCAAATAGCGCGGGAGCTATTCAGAACGAGAGGTTTCAAATAGCGCGGGAGCTATTCACAATGAGAGGTTTCAAATAGCGCGGGAGCTATTCAGAACGAGAGGTTTCAAATAGCGCGGGAGCTATTCAGAACGAGAGGTTTCAAATAGCGCGGGAGCTATTCACAACGAGAGGTTTGAAATAGCGCCTGCCTTATTTATAATTTGATAACATCTCATGACTTACTTGTAAACGTGTTGGCCTAGATCTGTATAATAACTAGATTTACTTTTAACAGCACTACTTACTGTTTCATGCCCTGTCCTTATGCAACAGTAACATGTTTCCTGAAGTCCTGTTCATTTGTATCCATTTTACATGAATTTCTTTTCACTTCAACTTTTTAATTCTGTTGCAAAATCAAAATGAATTATTTAACTCCCAGGAATAAAGAGCAACCTCCAACTAACACTCGATCAGCAGTGAAAGCTTTTGTGGAATGTAGAACAATTTCCTAGATCTATTATAATAGACAGTTAGCAATGGTCGGCGACGGTGGGCAACAGTCTGCATTAAGTGTTGTTTGTCAACTGGCTGTATGTGTGACCAAAAGACTTTATGGCTTTTTCTTCTATCTTTTTATTTTTTATGACAATACAAAGAGCCTTCTTCTTCGATAAAAAATTAAGAGTAATAAATATAACCAAACGATTCAAATGAATACAGAAAAGGTAAATCCATTAATAGTAAAATACATGTTACCAAAAGTCTACAGATTGTGACAATAGCTATACCAGTCCGGAAACAAAAAAATTAATCACTTTACCGCGCTTTCAAAGAACGTGCAGCATATTCATTTTAAAAAAACCCAACAAACAACAAAAACAAAAGGTTAACCCAACCATGTCCTATCATTTTCCAGTTTGATCCTTTTTACTGTGGTGGTCTTTTCTGCTCTTTTTCGTTTCCTCTGGCTGGGTTTCTTTCCTTTTGTAGGTGTTCATCATCATTATCTTCATTATACTTCCGTTTGAATGACCACGAAATGGTTTGGTAGCCATGTTTTGTCTCTTGGTGGGCATGGTGCGATGCTGGTCCATAACAGAGTAACAGCTGTATTAGCATACCTCGTAGAGAGAAATGAGAGAGAGAGAGAGAGATTCTGAATAGAGTACAAATAATTTTTGTTTACATAAATAAGTCAGGAAGAGAGAGAAGTAAGAGAGAGAGAGAAGTAAGAGAGAGAGAGAGAGTAATTCTGAATAGAGTACAGATAATTTTTGTTTACATAAATAAGACAGGGAGAGAGAGAAATGAGAGAGAGAGAGAGTAATTATGAATAGAGTACCAGGTAATTTTTCTTTACATAAATACGTCTGTCTTAAAATCATTGTTTCAGAAAGAACGCACACAAACATATGCACACTCACACATGGACACACACATGCTCACGCGCATAAATGTACCTTTTCTATCTGGTCATGCCCTTATAATCAAATGGTTCTCCAACGCAAGTAGGACATATGTAAACTTCCTCTATCTGCGTCCACTTCTGCCACAGGTCATCGGGTATTTGCAGGCATCGCTTGTGAAACCAAGTCGCACATGTCTGCAAGTATGAAAAGTGAAAAAGAAAATTCAGTACCACACTAGAGGATAGCAAGCACCGTTATCATCATCATCATCATCATCATCATCATCATCATCATCATCATCATCATAATCATCATTGTTTGGAAAGCAGAGTAGGAGGGATAGTCTTGTTTGATTTTCAGACAAAATAACAGAACAATATGAAATGATGAAAATTAAAACTAAACGGGTGCTGTAAACTAGCACGGAATGGGCCAAACAAAGAGGGTCTTAAGATTACATGATTGTGGCTAGACGGAAGTGACTCAGTGCGAGACTGGCCAAGGGGCTAGTTAAAAGTATAGCTGGCGAGAGAGAGAGAGAGATATCATAAAAACTTAGTGGGAAATGTCATAAGAAAGTCTTTTGGTCACACATACAGCCAGCTGACAAACCATACAATACTTAATCATCATCATTATCATTAATTTTGTCGATTATTAGTCGTTGTTCGGCAATTTACTACATAAATATTGCTTGATGTCATTTTTGCCGTTACATTACGTTAGGTAAAAAATGATACTGACCTCACATTCAACGCTCCGACCTTCATCTTCTGTATCCTCCCTGCATATGCCGCATGGCCACTTGACTGGCGTCTGTTTCTGATTCTTTCCACGCAGTATTGAGAAGGAGCATACAGTGGGTTTCGCTTTCAGCGAGGTTGCCGGGACCGGCTTGTTGTCCTCGTTGGATCCAACCTCTCGTTGAACGTGACTGAGGCGAAAGAAAAGAAAGGAGACAAGTTATATTACACGGTGTACCAATACCAGTAATTAAAACAGTTGTTCCCCCTGATGACGAAAATCTCAATCGGCATCCGTGTGCGCGTGTTTGAGCTGTGTTTTGACCGTCATTTCTGAATTTAAAAGAATATTTTTTCCGGAACACTTCTCGTGTGGAAACATACCCTCTCACATCTAGGCCTAGATCTACATAAAGTAAAGACAGGAGCTTGGATTTACTGATCAGGGGAAGAAAAGAAAATTGAAAAAAAATGAAGGTTTCGATCGAGACCTACCCATCCAGAGTTCATCCAGTTTCACACAGCCTGCATCACGTTCCCACCCACCCCCTCCCATCCCTACCGTAGGTTGACCCTCGCCCATCCTCTTGGCTTTGGGGCCCATTGGCCCACATTAAGAGGCACACTAGATCTAGCACTTCTTTTAGTTTCCTTTTTCTTCCCCAGGTCTGATGTAAAACGAACTGTTGACCTAAACATAGGATTTATAAGGAAAGAGAGAGGGGGGGATCTTAGTAAAGAGAGAGAGGGGGATCTTAGTAAAGAGAGAGAGGGGATCTTAGTAAAGAGAGAGGGGGATCTTAGTAAAGAGAGAGAGGGGGATCTTAGTAAAGAGAGAGAGGGGGATCTTAGGAAAGAGAGAGAGGGGATCTTAGGAAAGAGAGAGAGGGGATCTTAGGAAAGAGAGAGAGGGGGATCTTTCTGCTTAGTCAATCATTTGGTTGCTGACTCCTCCATCCCTATATTTCTCTTATCTTGCTGGTAGCATTCTTTAGTAACTTTATTTATGTACAATAAGCTTTATATAAGAGAACTTGCTAGAGAGGTCTGAATTGACTATGTCACATTCATACTTTGGAATGAGTTTGTTTTTTTCAACATTATAATTTTGTA